AACAATCCCATTAGCAACCTAGGTGCTTGAAACAATTTGTTTCATAAATGTATCATCTACTTCCATAAAACATAAGTTAAAACATTCTATATCCATACTAGAATTTAAGTTTTACAAAACTATTAATTTTCTAAGGAGTAATTAAGGCAATAAATACATTCAAATTTTACAACTAATCAAGTCGAACTTTAAGCTCCACCCCTTAAGCTTGAAATCTTTAAGCATTTTAGTAATTAGCAACCTTCTTAGCATGAACAGGGTAGAGAGACTAGAATCCTCAAATAAACTAAGGAAAATATGACCCAAAAAAAAAGGAAATATAAAACTTAAGGATACAAATGATTAAAAAAAAAGTTAATGGACCAAATTTACTTTAATTACAAACTTGAGAATAAAAATATTATAAAAAATTTCGTTTCTCCAAGACCAAGGGGCCTACTGCCACCCCTTGGCCATAAGCTAAGTGGTCCTAATTCAAAATTCCTTAGTGCTACGCAAGCCTCTTGATTATATATTTTAGAACAGTTGGTAACAATCTAGTACTTTGTTTTATTATTATTTTGATTATATAATTAACTAGCTAGTGCATAACCAGTGAATACTGTATCTAAGGTAATTCCTTGCAGGCATGAAAGGGTCCAAACACCAAACACCAATTTATCTATTATTATCATCAAAGGCTTAGTTCATGGATTATGACATACTTTTACAAGGGTGTTGAATTCAGCTGCACCATCCATCATCAAAACGCGTTTATGCCGTGCAGGGTGCTTCTGTGTTTCTACGAAGAGAGTCAAATCTCATATATTGAAGTATCTCACTTTCATTTTTTGTTTCATACTTTGGATATGATAAATTTTAGTTTAAGTTTACGTAACACGTATTCACACACATTTGATATAATAAAAAACAGAAAAAAAATTAAAAATAAAAAAGGACACGTATTGTAACACACGAAGAGAATGGGATTTGGACTCCTTCCCACACTATATAAATCGTCTCATATTGGGCTCGTCTCATCACAACTCAAACACATCCTGATTTCATTTCCTGTGCGCTCGTCTTTGTAGCTAATTCAACGCCGAAACCTCCTACATGGCTGAGGAGATGCACCACCACCACCACCACCACCGCCGCCACCACCACCACCACCACAAGGAGCAAGCCCCATCTGAGAACCCCGTCTACTACCCCAATACCGCGGTCTATCCTGGAACCTCCGTCTACTACCCCAATACGGCGGCCTATCCTGGAACCGCATACTTACCAGAAATTGATTACAAGAAAGAGGAGAAGCATCACAAGAATCTTGAGCACCTTGCCGAGTTGGGTGCGGTTGCAGCTGGTGTTTATGCCGTGGTAACGTTTCTTCGAGCTCTTTTTCTCTAAACACCAATAATGAAGCATGAAACCATGTGAAATTACTTACATATATAGATAACTTATACTGGAATAAGGTATACAGCAATCAGTAATTAATTTTTTTTTGTAAAATTTATATTTCACCATAGATCACTCATGCTAAATTCAAATATTTCATATTAAAATTCAAATCATGCATGTTAAAATTTATTGTACATCATTTTTTTTACATTTAATAATAATAAATTATACATAAGGGATAGTCTTTTTTTTTTTTTTTTTCAAATTTCTCTTTACTAAACTCAAGATTCAAATTTAAAACCTTCAATTAAAATTTTCAAAATTTCAATCATTAAATCACCTTTTTAGGATTAATATTTATTGCGCATCATTTACATATTTAAATGAAATTAATATTTCACCTTCTTTCTTCAAACACCTAATGGGCCGGGCGATCTTTTTACCCAAAACCCTTCTTGGTGCGTCTTTAACACCTAACATTCAAATATCAAACCAAAACTTGAAAGAGAAGTAATTAACGATTAGATCATTAGAACATAAATTATTAGGTAACCAAACTAAGTTTAAAACATAAATTATTAGGTCTCAAATACTGATTTTTGCAATCAATTTGATCGCGTAATTTAAAACCCAAGATATTAAAATGTAGATCATCCTAAAAATGGGTTAATATAGGTCAAGTAGGGGATTTTGTGAACCTTGGACAAATTTTGGATAATAATACCCCTATTTTCTAATTTTTCAATAATTTATATTTATAAATTTTTGTTTTT